TGGTAAAGGAAACAAAAGAAATATTGAAGAAAATAACACCTTAGAAACAAAATAAACAAAATGGTAAAAGGAAGCACAAATCAAATGAAGAGAAGACCTCTTCAAAGAGTAGACTTGGAGGGGGAAGCTGGGTGGTGCAGTGGATGGAGCACTGGCCCTGGATTTAGGAGGACCTGAGTTCCAATCCAGCCTCAGACACATAACACTTACTAGCTGTGTGACTCTGGGCAAGTCACTTAACCCTATTGCCTAGCCAAAAAAAAAAAAAAAGTAGACTTGGCCATGTGGAAAAGATGTACAAAAATTAACCAAAGAAAAAAAATTCCTTAAAATTGGAACAGACCAAATGGAAATGGTGATACAAAAATTCACTGAAAAAAATAATTCCTTAAAAACTAGAATTGGACAAATTAAAGCTAATGATTGCATAAGTCATCAATAAGCAATAAAACAAAATCAAAAGAAGAAAACAATATAAGAAAATGTTAAATATTTCTTTGGAAAAACAACTGACTTGGAAATAGTTCCAGAAGAGAATATTTCATACTTATTGAATTAGCTGAAAGCCATGTTAAAAAAAAATGATAGGCATCATCTTTCAGGAACTTATCAAGAAAAACTACCCCAATATTCTAGGACTAGAGAATAACATAGAAATTAAAATAATCCACTGATCACTTCCTGAAAGAAATCCCAAAATAAAAACTTCCAGGAATATGACAGCCAAATTTCAAAGCTCCCAGGTCAAGGAAAAAATATTGCAAGCACCCAAAAAGAAACAATTCAAAAATCATGGAACCACAGTTAGGATAACATAAGATTTAGCATCTTCTAGACAAATGACCAGAAGACTTTGAATGTGATATTCCAGAGGTCAAAGGAACTAGGATTACAACTAAGAATCAGCTCCCCAGCAAAAATGAATATAATTATTAAGGGGGAAATGGATATTTAATGAAATAGAGGACTTTAAAACATTCCTGATGAAAAGACCAGAGCTGAATAGGAAATTTGACTTTAAAATATAAGACTAAAGAGAAGCATATAAAGGTAAATAGGAAATAAAGCATACATAATTCAATAAGGTTAAACTGTTTATATTCCTACATGGGAAGATGATACTTGTGACTCCTGAAAATTTTATCATTATTAGGAGAATTTGAAGGAGCATATATAAAAAAATGAAATGGGTATGAATTGATTATGATGGCAAGATTATTTAAAAAAATAAAATGAAGGGATGAGAAAAAAGGAATACACTAGAAGAAGGGGGAAAGGAGAGATAGAATAGGGTAAATTATTTCATATAGAAGAGGGACTTAAAAAAGGAGATTTTACACTCATGTAAAGATGGGGGTGACTAACACTTGAAAACTATTCTCAACAGAACTGGCTCAACGAGGGAATAATATCCACACTCTGTTACATCTGCCTTGTCCTACAAGGAAGTAGGAGGGAAGGAGAATGAGAGAGGGTGGATGATAAAGGGGAGAGCAGATTGGGATGTGGAAGTCAGAGAAAAAACAGAATTTGAGGAGAGACAGTGAAAGGAGAGAATGAAAAGGATAAATGGGGGAAGTGGGATGGAAGGAAATACACAGTAATCATAACTGTGAAAGTGAATCGGATGAACTCATCCATAAAAAGGAAGCAGATCTCCTTAAGAAAAAATCCCCAGAACCGGATGGATTCACAAATGAATTCTATCAGACATTTGAAGAATTCCAATACCTTGTGAACTATTTGCAAAATAAACAAAAAAGTCCTACCAAATTCCTTTTACAACACAAATGTCAGGCTTATATCTAAAATAGGAAGGGCAAAAAACAAAGAAAGAAAACTAAAGACCAATTCCCACAATTACTATTGATGCAAAATTTTTAAACAAAATGCTAGCAAGGAGATTATAGCAATATATCGCAAAGATCATACATTATGACCAGGGGGGTTTATACCAAGAATTCAGGGCTGTTTTAATAGTTGGAAAACTATAACCATAACTGACCATATTAATAGCAAAGCCAACAGAAATTATATGATTATCTGAGTAGCTGTAGAAAAAGTTTTTGCCAAAATGTAATACTTATTCCTACTAAAAACACTGGAAGGAATAATAATAAATATACCTTTCCTTAAAATGAAGAGTACTATCTATCTAAAACCATCAGTAAGGTTTATAGGGAAAAGCTAGAAGCCTTCCCAATAAGATTAGGGGTGAAACAAGGATGCCCATTACCAACATTCTTACTAAATATTATACTAGAAATGTTAGCTATAGAAATAAGCAAAGAAAATGAAATTAAGAGCATTTGAATATGAAGTGAGAAAATAAAATTATCATTCTTTGTGGTATACTGAAAGAATCCTAGAGAATCAATTCAAAAACAGCTTGAAATTCTCCACTTCAGCAAAGTTTAAGGATATAAAATCAACCCACATAGATTATCAGTATTTTTATATATTCCCAATGAAGTTCTACAGGAAAAGATAGAAAGAGAAATTCCATTTAAAATAACTACAAATAACATGAAGTACTTGGGAGTCTACTAGTCAAGACAAACACAAGAACCATTACAAAACACTTTTTACACAAAATAAAATCAAATCTAAACAATTGGGAAAATATCAACTGCTCGTGGGTCAGCTGAGCCAATATAGCAAAAATGATCATTCTACCTTAGTCTGCTTATTCAGCATCATACCAATCAAACTCTCAAAAATTATTTATAGAGCTAGAAAAAATAATAACAAAATTCACTTGAAAACAAAGGTCAAGAATATCAACAGAACCAATAAAAAAAAAAGTGGGAAGGAAGTACCAGATCTCAAACTCTATTACCAGTAGTAATCAACAAATTAATCTAGTACTATCTAAGGAATACAGTGGTGAAACAGTAGAATAGATAAGACATATGGTATTAAAAGACATGGTACTAAATGACCATAGCAATCTAGTGTATGATAAATCCAAAAACTGAAGCTTTTGGGACAAGAATTCCCTGACAAAAATTTTGAGGAAAATTGGAAAGAAAGTTTGGCAGAAAGTACATACAGACCAACATCTCACACCATATAGCAAGATAAAGTCAAAATGGGTACCTGATTTGGACATAAAGTGTGAAATAAGCAAATTATTAGAGAATGGAGTATCTTATGGTCAGATCTGTGGATAAGGGAGGAATTTATAATGAAACAAGACAGAGATCATTATGTCAGTAAAAGGAATAATTTTGATTACATTGAATTAAAAGGTTTTTACACAAACACATTGAATAGGGCAAGATTAGAAGGAAAGCAGAAAACTGGGGGTGGGAGAAGGGTGAATTGTAGCAAGTTTCTTTGCTAAAGGTCTCATTTCTAAAATATATAGGAGTTGAGCCAAATCTATAAGAGTACAAGTCATTCCCCAATTGATAAATGGTCAAAGAAAATGAATAGGCAGTTTTCAGAAGAAAAGAATCAGTTATCTCATTATATGGAAAATCCTCTAAATCACTACTGATTAAGAAAATGTAAATTGAAACAATTCTGAGGTACCACTTTACACCAATAAGATTGGCTAATAAGATAGGAAAAGAAAAAGACAAATGAAGTACGCATGGAAAAACGTTAATACTCTGCTGGTGGAGTTGTGAATTGTTCCAACCAATCTGGAAAGCAATTTGGAACTATGCCCAAAGGGCTATGAGACTGTGCATACTCTTTGGCACAGCAATACCAGTGTTGAGTCTGTATCACAAAGAGAGAAAAAAATGGAAAAGGAAAAGGACTTATATGTACAAAACTGTTTGTAGCAGCTCTTTTTTTGTAATGGCAAAAAATTGGAAATGGATGGGATACCTATCAATTGGGAAATGGCTGAAAAAGTTGTGGTGTATGATTGTGATGGAATATTACAGTATTATAAGAAATGATGTGCATGTTGGTACCAGCGAAACCTAAAAAGACTTGCAAGAACTGATGCAAAGTGAAATGAGAAGAACCAGTAGAACACTGTACACAATAACAGCAATATTGTGAAATGACCAACTGTGAATGACAGCTATTCTTGGCAGTACAACAATCCAAGACAATTCAGAAAGACTTATGATGAAAAATGCTGTCTACCTCCAGAGAATAAATTGATGGAGTATGAATGCAAATCAAAGCATACTTTTTTACTTTGTTTTAATTGGTTTTTTTGTCTCTGTTTTCTTTTACAACATGTGGAAATAAGTTTTGCATGACTGCACATGTATAGTTTATATCAAATTGCATGCCTTCTCAAAGATGGGGAAGGGTGAAAGGTAGGAATAGAACATAGAATTCAAATCTTAGAAAATGTTAAAAATTATTTTTAAAAGCAATTGTAAATTTACATACATAATTTTTTTTAAAACTGTGGAATATGAAGAAGGAGACTCTTTAGGCTCAAGTTTTCCTCGTATAGACTCAGGGATGAGAAGCACTTGTGGAATCAAGAACTTTCAGGTTTCCCCCAAAATTTTCTTAGAGCCATTTTCACCTCCTTATTCCTCAGGCTATAGATGAGAGGGTTAAGGGCAGGTGTGAAAGCCACATAAAACACAGAAACAATCTTATTGAATTCTGAAGAGGACAGAGACTTAGAATTTAAGTAAAGAGACATTATAGTCCCAAAAAATAGGGTGACAACCAGAAGGTGGGAAGAGCAAGTAGAGAAGGCTTTTCTTCGTCCCTGGGCAGAGCGAATTCTCAGAACAGCAATGATGATGTGTGTGTAGGAAAGGATGATGAATGTGATAGGGGACAAAAGGGTAAAGATGCAGAGCACATGCATTACCAACTCTGCATGTGTTGTATCAGTACAAGAGAGGTGCAGTAGAGCCGGCATTTCACAAACAAAATGATTGATAACATTATTGTGGCAGAATGAGAGCTGGAATGTTGTAACTGTATCTATTGCAGAAAACATAAAGCCACCCAACCATGGTGCAGCAGCCAGCATGCCACAAATCCCCCAGTTCATTGTTACTGAGTACCTTAAGGGGTCTCGAATAGCAACATAGCGGTCATAGGCCATTACTGAGAGGATATAGCACTCTGCAATGCCAAAGGACAAGAATGTGTAGAACTGAATGACACAGCGGAAGTAGGAGATGGACTTTCTCTCTGCCAAGAGGTGTACCAGCATCTGTGGAAACACACAGGATGTGAAACAGACTTCTATACTGGATAAATTAGTGAGGAAGAAGTACATGGGTGTGTGGAGGCGTGAATCCCTCAATATCAACAACACAATGAGCAGGTTCCCCATCAAGATCACAAGGTAGAAAATGAAGAAGAGCAGGAAGAGGTGCACCTGGAGCTCAGGCCGGCTGGAGAGGCCAAGGAGGATGAACTCAGTCACCGAGGTGAGGTTTCTGCTCTCCATCTTGTTTATAGGTGTCCTGAAAGAAGATGGAAAGTTATGGCCACAATACATTTTATATTTCTGTCTTCTCTACCTGAGACTACTGAAAAAACATATAGACACTCTTGGGTCAAAAGTATGTATCCCTTTATGATTACAAATCACATCATATCCATTATCTCACATCATCCTCATTATAACCATGCAAAGCAAGCAGGATGTTGATATATTAATATCTCAATTTTTGATACTGAGGATATTGAGGCTCAGAAAGATTAAGTGACTTTCAAATAGTTTCTCAGCTAGTAAGAAGTAGACCTGATTCTTCTTCTCCCTCCACAAATCCTGGCCTCCAAACCTGCCTCTCTTCTCCATATTCACCAAAGATGATCTGGTCTCTTACTTCACTGAGTTCAGGGGCATCCAATGAGAACTCCTCCATCCTTCTAGCATACCAATAACCATCCTCCTGTTTTAAATGATGAAATAAACTTCCTCCACAAGGGTGATCTCTTTTGCTTCATCAAGGATTACAGTAAGGAAAACAAGTATGGTATAAGGGAAAGAGTATTGGACTTAAAATTAGGAGAGTTGTGAAACTTACTAGCTGTATAGCTGGACAAGTCACCTGGTACCTTTCTGTGCCTCAGCTCCTCATGTATGAATTGTGGGAAATTATACTTGTACTATTTAGCTCATAGAGTTATAAATACGATAGTTTATAAACCTTAAAGTTCCATATAAATTGAGCAGAGGCTGAAGAGTGGCACTGGGCAGATGAGCAAGGCTAATCATCCATTCCTATTTGCCACCACCTTTGTATAGGTGGGACTGCAGTTTTACCTTTACATAAGTTCACCTTTCTGCAGATCTTTATGTAAAGTGATTTTGATTTAATTTGAACTTACTATGTTGGGAAGGGATGGAGGCAGGGAGGTAGGAAGGGAGGATTTATGCAACTTTGGTGAGAGGGGGCCAGCATACTGTTCAAGCGCACATGTGGGAAACGGACAGAGAATCAAAAGCAAGAGGTGGAACATGAGGCCTTGGACCAACCACGTGGGGGCCAGACCTGAGAGGAGGAACACCCCTTGGGGGCAGAACCATGGGTACCAGCCACAAATAGTAAAGGATGGGTAAAATATGGGGGATGAGGCCAGACACGTGGTGCTCAATTACTGACGGAAGATATATGCCAGGGGTGGACACACGGTGGGGGGCAGAGTGGGACAAAGTTCTTTTCTTTTGCCATTTGAGATCTCAAGCCACACTCCCAATCAGGCTTCAGAGGCGGTGGTCCCTCTACCTCTGCTCTGCTTTTACTTGGAGGACTTTTGTTTGTTTCTTTCTTCGTGTTTAGGATTTGTGGTGGAGTGTGTGAGGGAAAACTAGGGAGCACCAAAGCTCAGAGACAGGAAGAGAAAGAGAGAAAGAGAGAGAGAGACAGAGAGACAGAGAGAGAGCAGTGCTATACAGTAAAGTTAACCAAAATGGGGAAGGGATGCAGATTTCTTTCAGAATTCATTATGTAAAGTTGAATTTGTGTAATAAGAATTTATGTAAAGCAAGAACCACCTGTACTTCTCTCCAGTCACCTTTAGTATGTGGAGCTATTCCTTTCTAGCCACTTTCTCAGCAAATCTTGACAAGAAGAGTGCTTTTCTTTTCAAATTGGGCAACAGGAAAAAATAGCCCTACCTCCTAATGCTAGCCAGCTAGTTATAACCTACCCTACCCAAAACTACTAATTCATTTGCCTAGAAAGATGAAAGTCTAAGTTTCTTTCTTTGCTCTACACAATTGTTAACTCATTCAATAATTATTTATCTACAGCTCAATCCTCCAACCAGAGATTTTTCTCTTCTGCAAAACACTGCAATTATAAACCCGTCTCTCTCCTAGCAAATATTCCCTTATACTCCTTCTCTCCCTCTACTCACTCTCCTTTTCCCTCTCTCTCCCACCACTTCTCCTTCACCCTGTGTTGTTGTTGTTATACTTACCATCATCATCATTGTTATTGTTATAGTTGTCATTGTCATTATCTTGATTATTTTTTCTAGTATCTTGGATTGCCTCCTCATGACTTCCTCTCTCTGAGTCATAAGTAAATAAGTCACTAGTCATAGCAACTATTCCCTAGTTGTGTGTGCTGGCTTTCCATGCTGACGTACTCTCTCTCTCATGCTTCTTTAACTACTCCCCACCCCTAGTTCCTTAGGATGGGAATGGCTAGCTTATCAATCACATTCTACATCCTGTCAGCCATGAGTCAAAGACTGGAATTGTTTTGACCACTAAGTGTCCATCTCTAGTATCCATATCTACTCAGCAATATCTAAATATATAAATGGAAATTATTGTTATATATTTGTACCAACTTCAGGGACTTATTCCTTCCATCTTCAATCTTTCCCTCTCTATGTGTTTATGAACATTCTCCAATATCCTTGATTTTTTTAAGTATCTAGATATTAAGTATCTACTATCACATGTCTCTCCTCCAATTCAAATCCACATTGCTTGAAAAATATAACTTATGCCTCTACTTCCTCATGATCCATTCACTTCTCAGCATTTGGTTACATGGATCCTATTCACCCTACTAAATATCTCTTTCAAAGGTTACCAAGTAAGATATTTTTCCTAGCTCATGTTTCTTCATTCTCAATCACTCTGATCACTTCAAATATCATTTATAACTCTAATTTTGACTTTTCCCCACATTCATATTAGGTGACCTAGACTCTTACTTCACTAAAATTAGGACCTGTAGTTAAGAATTTGAGGGGGTAGGAGATAGAAAAATGGAAGGAGGTTCAGCATCAAAGCGTCTTTCCTAAGACTCCACCCCAGCCTTGATGCAAAAGTCTTCACTCTATGCTTATGGAAGCTTCTGCCCATGCTTCAGTTCTCCCAATCCCATGTAGCTTATCCCAGCCTCCCCTTATCCAGCTACATCTATCTTCTTGATGAGATAGAACCTTCTCCTACTTCAGATTAGAATAACTGTCCTACAACTTGCTCCATTTCTAATTTAGCCAGTCAAAAAGCATTTATTAAGCCCTCCCTATGGACCAGGCTCTGGGCTAATGAGCTTATTGGGATCATCTGTCATGGCCCCATGTGTAGAGTTAGTTTAATACCAAATTATTGACTTCCTATCAATGATTAGGTACTTGGTTTTCAAGGACCATCTCCCTTCTATAGCTCACAGGATTGTTGTGAAAATAGTATTTTGTAAACTTTAAAGTGATAAACGTGAATAATTCCTGAATGTATATCCACTGGTATTTCATGCTCAACATGTCCAAAATGAAACTTTTGACTTTTCCTCAAAACCTGCTCTCTCTTCTTGACTTTCCCATTTCTGTCATTTGCACCAAAATTCATTATCTGATATTTAAAACCTATATCTAAATTTTCTTTCTGCCTCAAACTTTCAAATAATCAATCAACTGTCATATGCTATCAGATCTCCCTCCACAATTTGTCTAACTTCCTTCCCCTCCTCTCAACTACAACACTCACTACCCCAGTATATTATTGACTAACTTAAAAATTCCCTAAGTTCCTTACTAATTCTCCTGCCTCTTATAGTCTCATTCCCCTATGAATCTACCCTTCCTACTGCTTCTCAAATTATCTTCCTTAAGTACAGACCTGAATAAATCTTCAAAACCCTCAAAAGTTCCCTACTGTCAATGGAATAAAGTTAAAATCTTTTTGCATAGAATTGTATTTCATCCTTTTGAATGCTTATGATAGAAATGCAATCAGTCCTCTGAGAATAGAATCACCATATTTTACCTAAGATAACTCTGTCACTCTGGCCCTGGAATCCTGATGTAACAACAAATATGAGGGAATCTGTCGGGATGACTGCCCTCCTATAAAAATCACTCATCAGTGTAGTTTCCTTACCTGAAGTTGATCCTTTCAATCTCAGTGGCTCTGTGCATAGACTCTCTCTTCCCCAAATCCAAGGCTATTTATGACTAAAAAATACAACATTGTTCAGATGTATGATGCCACAGTGTGGGGGTAGGAGTGGGATGAGAGAAAGAACAATGCATTTGACCTGGACAGGACTTATTTGGGGCCATATAATGAAACCATGTGCCTCGAATGAACTGATGGTTCCAAGTGCTTTGTGGTCAGGAGTAAAGACATGTAAGCAAGGGTGTTTGGAGCAGAACATTGGCATAATTTTTTTCTGTCATATGCTAGGAAGACATAAGAATTGCCTTTATAGCCTACTTATGTGAAGCCTTTGTAGCCTACTTGTTACATTCTAAGACCACATGGAGCCCTTTGGGGATGCCAGCATGAAACAGAACTTAATGATTTATGATTGAAGATACCTATTAGTTGGTACAAATGTTGAAAGAGGAAGAGGAAGAAGAGGATAACAGAAAAGAAACCTAACAATGTTCAAGTAATAATCTCTCCAGATTATGAAAAAACGATCGCATCTAAACTACACAGAAGTATCGGAGTACTTTTCCATTGAGAGGAAAGTGTTATTAATTTTACTTATTCTCACTATCCCACCTGTAGCTAGGTACACCAGTGTGTGGAAAATTCACCCTAGAGTGAGGAAGACCTGAGTTGAAACCCAGCCTCAGACACTAACTAGCTAAGTGGTGCTGAGGAAATCACTTAAATTCTGTTTGCCTCAGTTTCCTCATCTGTAAAATGGAGATAATAATAGCATCTTTCTCCCAAAATTGTTGTGAAGTTCAAGTGACATAGTACTTATAAAGCACTTCAGTTCCTTTCATAGTGTAACTACTATAGCAATGCTTGTACCCTGCCCTGCCCTTCTCCATTACATGAAAACTACCCTCTTAGTCACTGGTTTTGTTTCTGAAATCTTTCATCTCCTTGTGCTGCCTGATCTGTTCCCCTAGACCTGCACTTACTATTTCTGACCATAAGTTTCCATTTATTTACCTTCACAAGAAAGGAGACCAAGGTCTGTTGGGATCTAGGTCAAGAGCTGGTAGTGGGAATGGGGA